TCTAGTTATTGGATGAATACAAATTAAAAGTACTATGGATGCCATCACACCCGGGTTAGAATGGCCATCGTCAGGAAATCTGACATCCTAATTTTGTATGTAATAAGTCATAGCATGCATAGCCCCACCATATCAGTACAAAGTGGGAAACTGGGATTTTTATTTGCAGGGAAACTGGATGAGGTCCAGGCAGTTTAAGTTACTTGTTAAGGTTATAAAATAACACATATTTAGAGAAACCTAAAGCAAGATCTCTATTTTCAAAATGCACATTTAATTAGAAAACACACATACTTAAAATATTAGACTAGTTAAATGTCTACAGATTGCTTTGTTTCTTAAAAGGCTTTCCAAAGCTTAATTAAAACACTATTTATTTTCATTCAAATTGTAAACATTGACAGGGAATCACAGAAAAGCTTAGGAATTATAGATTCTACCAAAAAGGAATGCCTTTTTTCTTTGCTTTCTTTTTCCAAATAATTATCTGTTTCTCACAATTAACTATATATTCTGGTTACTCACACCAATCAAACATACTGAATTTTAAATGAAAACTGGGAAAAAAAGATTGGCGCTAGTAAATGCCGAGTATAAGTTCTGAGCTTTAACTGAAGCATAAATCTGAGTAAGGAACTCTCCTGAGAGTAGCTTCAGAGGCAGAATCCTCAGCTTTTCTTCCTTGGTAGCTAAAGAAGCTTTGAAGAGAAGGTGTTAGTTCTTTGCTAATGAAATTAACAGACATAACCTATATTTATATAAAACATTTTAAGGGAAGGAAAGTGATGGGAGGGGCTATGAAGAAATAAGTTAATCCAGGCATGACACTTGCAAGGGGCAGCTAAGCAGAGAATGGTAGTAACTTTTAAAAAAAATGTGACTCTGTTCTTTGCTTATTCCAGAGGTCGCCTGTAGGCCAAACATTGCAGTTCTAAAATGACATAAGACACCTCACGAATAATTTGTATTCTTATGTCATGAACTTCAACTGCCAAGTTACACAGAACTTCCCATCATAAAAGCCAGATGTACACTTTTGTCATGTAGAAGAGAAAAAGATAAAGGGATGTACATCATCCAAGTGATTTGAATGAGCAGTAGCTGTTCAGTAAGCAGTTGACATCCTTGAGCCACCTGTGCCATTCTTAGTCTCTTCCAGAGTCCACCAGTTATTTTTGCTTCGTATACTGTTTATTTTACAAAGCACAATTCACAAGGCAGCATGAAGTTGTGTTGAAGAAAACTATCCCAGTGTTGAATGCCAAGTGACTGGCCAACCAGTGTTAGGAAAGAATCATGCTGTTTCCATGGGCCTTTTCTCAGCTGATGTGTAGAGCCAAACCCATTTCAGGCGTTTGAGATCTTAGCATCTTGGAGACAAAAAAGCATGGGTTTGCTTTTGAGACACAGTTATGCCCTAGGACTGGTCCAGCAGGAAGCATTTGAAATTCACAGAAGTTCAGAAGTAGACTTAGGTTTAATGATATGGTCTGCACATGTGCAGAAAAAGACAGCCACATTTCTTCTGCCCTCACTATCTATTTTTCACTTTACCTTTCCACTTCAACATGCCAAGAAGACTTAACTGTGACATGACTTAGCTTATGCAGTTCAGTGGAAATCAAATTTTTAAAGTGCATTTTTGATAACTCTAAGTTAGTGACTTTCCTTTTTGACTCTTATTTTCTTTAGTTGAAATACAATTTCTCTGCAGTTTTATGATGATTCAACATTTAAGCTTTGTAATACTTCCTTTGCTTTTTTTTGTTTTGTTTTGTTTTTTGTTTTGTTTTGTTTTGTTTTGTTTTTTCAAGACAGGGTTTCTCTTTGGAGACTGTCCTGGAATTAGCTCTTGTAGACCAGGCTGGTTTTGAACTCACAGAGATCTGCCTGCCTCTGCCTCCTGAGTCCTGGAATTAAAGGCATGCTCCACCAACTCCCTGCTTCCTTTTATTTTCTCAAGTTAAGAAATAAATTAATTCAGGCAAAAGATTGTGAGAGAAATTTTTCTGAATGCCCTGAAATAGCCTTTTTTAATCAGTTTTCATTATCTGCAAAGAAAGTGTCCAAGAACACCACGGTGGGTACCCTCAGGGTGCAGTTGGGAAAGCCTGTGTACTCAGTTCAACTAAGTCTGGGAGATGCCAGCAAGGCAGGCAAAGGAAGGAGGCTTATTTTCTAGAATCCACAGGGATTAACTTTTGGTTCTACACATGGCTATTTTAAACATTTAAAAGGCTGTTTGTGAAGAAAATGTCCTTAAATTATTTTTCTGTCCTTCAATTATTCAAAACTTTTTTCAAAATTTCATTTGGTACCCAGGACTCAGTTTAGAAGGAAAAAAAAAAAAAAACCTGCAAACATAAAATAGCAAGTAAATGCAATATATGCATATGAGAGCAGAAAGTGAGGAATCCTTTCAAGTTCACTATGGAGAAATGCCCCCACATACCTCTTAGGATAAAGAGATTACATGGTCCCTAGCCAGGGGGTTCTTAGACCTTCCTCTCCCTTTGACTGTCAGTGATCAATAGCTCTGAAAGCTTATGCAAAAGCCTGCAAAGGAAGTCTGTTTGAAAGACTAAGTTGAGTGACTTTGAATTTGCAAAAAGTACATAAATGTAACCTAAATAAAAGGCTAATGGAAAACAATGGAAAGCTTCAAAAGGACTGAATTATGTTCCAAGGAAGCACAAGTTCAGATAGCTATCTGTAGCCTTTTTTACAGTCTTGTAAAATACAACCAACACCTACTACAATGACTATTTTAGAAAGGCCATTTACTCTATATTTACTTTTTAACAAAACCTTCTCATTTTGGATCTTTAACATAATATTTGGTCTTTAAGAAGGTAGGTGGTCTATATTGAATGATGCAAAGGTGTTTGCCAGCATGAATTATACCCTTTGAAAAGCAGGAATGGATATGTAAGAAAAACTTTGGCCTACACTGGAAAAACTAAAAATAAAATATATGTGGGGCAATTTTCTTAGAAGAATCAGATGTTTTACTTTCCTTCCATTCTTCACTCCCTCCCTTCCTCTTCACATAATATGGATGCTATAACTTCTTGTTCATGAATTTCTATAGTTTGCCTGTCTAATAATAGCTCGTTTATTTCTTTGCACTTTCCGACTTGAACTTTTCCCTCTACAGTGATCAGTTTCCCCATAGAAAGCTATGTGCCTTGCTAAATTGATTCAGACCTCCTGCTTAGTACTGGAAACTATTTGAAAAGCAGATAACCTTGAAGTGGGGTCATTCCCAGGACAACTTAAACTTTATGTTAAATGATTTAAAGAAAGCTAAAACCCCGTAATCCCTTCCCACATGACAAGTTAGGTGTAACATGTAAATTAGGAGATGACTTGCCTGATGAACGCTTAATGACTGTAATATAATGTTTGTTTTCCAAGACATATTGAAGGAGGTGTCCTCACCTGTGTTGCATTTCCATACACCGAACACCTTCTCCAACACATAAGTTTAGAACAAAAAGTACTTTTTTCAAGTATGACAAACCTCAAAATCCTCTTTCCCCACTGATTACAAGGCACATGTAGAGTATGCTTATCTTAAACATGAACAGACATAAAATACTCCCATGTCTGTCTATAAAGGTCCTATAGGATCTATATCCTTTATATAAGAATACAAATATCCTTAATATTTTAAGTTCCTGCTGCATTCAGCTGTAGGAGATAAGTGGTTTAAAAACCCTGCAGCCACATTAGGGTTAAGTTTTTGTGGCAGGAAAGGAATCAGCCAAGCACAAACTCTTAACTTCCAGGATGAAAAGACATAAACTTCATTGGCTTTCAGGCAGCACTGCAAGATTAATGCATATTTTCAATTAACACTGAAGAACAGGAAAAATGATGAAAGTGTTTTACATTATTCTGTGCTTTTGATGAGAAATAAGTTTTAAGATGTAAGCTCATTGACTAATGATTAGATTTGACAAGAGTTTCTGGGTTTTTGTTTGTTAAGATCCTTAATGTTAAAAATACAGTATACATTTCAAGCTTTCCCAAGGCAAATGACTAGGCTTGTTCCAAGTTCTGAAACTTACTGACGATTTTTTGTGTTTTGATTTGATTTTGTGCTTAAAATAATATTCCTTATTCGTGCAATCCTACAGGCTATTATGTAATTACTATTATGCAAAAGAATTGTGCAAAACAAAAATAAATCTTGTAAAGAGGACCTTGATGATTTGTAAAGCCCCTCCCCCACGCGAAATACTGTGGGAGTGAGGCAAAGCAAGCGATGGGTATAACAATAAAAATGACCATACACATTGCATGATAGACTTTTCATTCTAGAACATTCTCTCAGTACACGACTTGAGTACTTTTTGTGCCTTCCATTTGCCAGCTGGAGTGATCCGGTGCCTGCACGAATGGCCTCTCCTGGGCTGCAAGCTGCTCACAATACATTTTGGTGAAATAATAGCATGCGATCGCTCTAGTTGGAGCAGTTAATAACTGGTTAAGCAACATTTCCCTCCAAGGGCTGTTTTCATCGCCCCAAAGCAGTCACTCCCAACCCATCCCATCCCTCCTCCGTCTTTTAACAATGCCTCAACTTCCTTCTCAAATCCCTCGTTCTATCCTTAGCAAACGCCGCCGAGACCCTGTATTTGTCCCGTCCCCTTTGCTCAAAGCCATCTGATCTAGG